GCTGCCTGTTCGGCGATCCGCATCTAACCTCCTGATTGCTTCGAGATAGTGGCTTTGACCGCAACTGCAACAGATTCGGTTGACTTAACATAATCATGACGCCTTCTCGGCAAGGGAATTAAGACAACTGTTTATGGTGCCATACTCCTGGAATGCCATATATACAGGGTTTAAAATGTGGCATAGGAACCGATTCAGGGTAAAAAATACTTGCAGATTGAGGGTGCGAAGAGAAGCAAAGCCACCGGAACCAAAGAACCATATCAAAGTGCACGTCACTGGATGACTACTTACCGCCACTGCAACACCCCAAAATGTAACCCGAAACAATCAACGAGCGCTGTAAGTTCAACGTGTATTTATTATAAATCACAAAAACCAGCTTTCGTAAAAATACGTCTAAACAGTTAGATATTAGATAGGCTAAACAGACGACTACAGATAAGGCCGACTATTTTTGAAAATGACTTCATTTACACTGACTATCGGATCACAGCATATCCCTCGGGAAAGTCACTGAGTAGATGCGCATGCGTACAGAACTATTGTCCAACGAGTGCAAAGCCAGTCGTGGGAAAACTCGGATCAGGACTTATAGAGATTGGGGAAGATTTCGAGGCCGGCAGCACGTTCCAGGTCCTTCAGAGGTACGATAAAAGTACTAAGGCGGGTGCCTTCGGGCAGTTCTTTGTTTGGTAGTACCCAAGCATAAGTTTTCCAGGGACCCCCGGGAAACTGTTGAACGGCAGCCGCCTTGAAAAAGTGAGTGGGTACCGCCACGGCATTTGGACCAATCACTTCGTAGGTAACTTGGCGACGGTTGACAGAATTACGATCGGGCCTGAAAGGAGAATGAGATAAGAGTTGGAACAGCAGCATTCTCGAGGGCTTTAAACGCAGACCAAAAGGCAAGGAGACAATTTATTGAATAGATTTCCCATCTCGTGAAATGCCGACCGAAATTCTGGAATATGTTTTCGATGCGAACAAAGTATTTAAGGTGGATCGTAACTGTGAGGCATCGCAGTTGGTGACTGTTCATCTACCAATGTGACTACACCTATAAGAGAACACCATATGTCCCGGCTTGGTGACGACAACGACCGATAATATGCCCTCTAAATGAAAAAGCACAGTTTTTACAACTCCATGTGTTTGGAAAGGCTAGGCTGAGTGGGTTCGACTTGATTGACAAAGCTGCGATATTTCCTTCCGAGATATTTACTCGAACAGATTATAGTCGCTACGATTAGTACACTGAACTTGGACAACATTGTTGTGTGGAATCATCTTCGGCAAAACGCGCCACTGAGGCTGACTGAAAAACAAATAGGTATCGGCGGTGGTAGTCGGGGGGGGGCATTCCAAGACTTCAAGTAAAACAGCACCGTCAACTTACGAAGGAAGAAAGAGGGGACCCGTGAGGACAACTACATTGACACTCCGACGAGCCATGGCTCTCACATACTTTTCCAGGTCCGACCAAACGCCACGATTGAACCCGACCCCAACCTTTGAAACAGAATACGATTAGGAATTAATTCAGGTAAGCGCACACGGAGACCAGTTTCAGGCGTACCGCATGTAGCTAAAAACAACTATCAGACGTTCAAAGTCAAGAGGCGCTTGGCAGCTCCCCTGTTGTAAAGGCAGAACAAGCAAACACCTCAGGAAAGGTTGAAAAGAAAAAACCTTTA